TTTATCATAAATTATAAAGTCTTTAATATTAACAAGTATTATTTCGTTTTTCTCCCTCTTCCATTAGAGTCTCAACGACTCCCATAGCACAACCACAATGCAGCCCAGCACGGCCAACATTGTTGCCAACTATCCCGGGCTGAAGCGGTATATGGATGATGGTTATTTGAACTACGAGCGTTTGTCCAAGTACTTCGAGGCGAATAGCGAGTGGCAGAAGGAGAAGGATTGCCAGACGCTGGGCCTCTCCATTGTTATTCAATTCATGTCCAAGCAGGTGAGTCTAAGCAGAGTTTTACAAAAGTTCCAAACTCAATGGAATACAATGCGGCAGACGAGCGAGAGAGGGGTAATCTGAAGTACAAGATGGACAGAGTGAGAGTGGGAATGCGAGATTTAATGAAACTGGCGCCAGGGATTGCCCGGCCGAGCCGAGAGATTTCCGTGAGTCTGGCAGAGTCTGTCAAAAACTTTGTTCAGTTTTATGCACGACTGATTCCCTTTGTCCGGCACAAGCCAAAGGTCTCACCTGCTCTAATAAAGGCCCGAAATCTCTGCTATGGAAATTCGCCTTAATCTGCGCTTAAATTTGAGCTAATTTTGTTTAATTGTTGCACCGTTCGCTAAGACCCTCAATCCCTTGCAACCGGATCCGGCACTGAGCCGGGGCCACTTTTCTGTTTGCACTAATTAAAATTTGCCAAGCGCAAAGTTTCAGCCTGTTTTGAGCATATGTGATACCCCTGCTCTATATATAGAGGGAAAAATACCCTTACAACTGCTTCGCATTCTTTTGTCTCATTTACTTATTTTGTGAAAGGGTGTGAGCTCTACCCGGCCATTCAATTAATTGTTATCATTTTCAATGCGTCGCACTATTTCTGTGAAATTTCTTGGCCACGTGTGAGTTTTAACAGTTTCAACTGTTTCGTAGCCCTTTGCTCTATATAAAACTCTGCAGAGGTGTTGTAGTTCATCAATTGTCAATTGTCTTTTAATTCGTTCGGGCTTAACTCTCTCTCTCTCTCTCTCTCTCTCTCTCTGACTACCTGGTGGTCTTCCTTCAAATTGAAGTCTTTCGGCTATAAATAAGTAATATGTATAGCTTAATAATCTACAAATTGTTAGCAATATATAGTTTCTGATTCTTGGTGACCAGATTTGATTAGATGATTTTTTCCTCTCCTTTAAGACGATATGTTATCTTCCATATAAATATATATAAAACTTGTGCATGTGAAAAATAAAAGAACAATTTTTCTTGCTTGCATTTCAATCTAAAACCAAGACTTAGTCCCTCTTGGTTCCATATTACTTCAAGTTGGCCCAGCTCGAGAGCTCTTGGCTGAACTTGTTGCATATTCAACTACCTG